AAGGATCTGAAAGAGTCAGAAAACCTGTGTTTGAACAACAGAAACATTGGAAAAGTACATCAGAGATCTTACACATACACACACACACACACACACACACACACACACACAGAGTATATGATTTCAGGTAAGTCATTTAATCTTTGAGCCTCAGTTCCCTCATCTGCAAAATGGAGGTAATATCTACTTGCCAGATATAGAAGCTTGAGTGAGCTAAGGGATCTAAAGAATATGATAAACTGTAAAGCGTCATTGAAAGATAAGTTAAAAATTGGAGAAACAAAAAGTACTGCCCCACATGAAAAGGTAATTGTAATTGAAATATCTCACTAAAAAATATTTGAAGAATATATTTGAAGAATCATCTATTGCATGTAGTTGCTAAAGGCAAGGAGTTGTGAATTGTGTTACTTCCAAATTAACCAGAGAAGAGGAAGATGAGGATTAAAATTCATTATCTGGAATATTTTGTGTGAGTTTTTTTGTTTGTTTTTTTGAGATGGAGACTCACTCTGTCGCCCAGGCTAGAGCGCAGTGGCACAATCTCAGCTCACTGCAACCTCTGCCTACCAGGTTCAAGCAATTCTCCTGTCTCAGCCTCTAAAGTAGCTGGGATTACAGGCACACACCACCATGCCCGACTAATTTTTGTGTTTTTAGTAGAGGTGGAGTTTCACCACGTTGGCCAGGCTGGTCTCAAACTCCTGACCTCAGGTGATCCACCTGCTTCAGCCTCCCAAAGTGTTGGGATTACAGGCGTGAGCCACCGCACCCGACTGTATTTTTATAAGTTCTTAAATAAAACTCATATAAAACTTTCGTGAGAACCACGAAAGAAGGAGAGAGGGAGAAGAGAAAAGAAAACTCAGCCTACATCCAGGGATTCAAATAAAACTGTTACAGAGGAAGAATACAAAGCCCTAGTTGTTTCTGTAAAACTTGGGGTTGCCTGTCTAATATCTAAAGGAACCACTGTTTGAGTTATAAATTCAGCACCTGATTTGCCAAACCTTTTCTCTCTGTCTTCAACGTGGCCAATTTGAACAACAGAAACACTGGGAAAATACGTAAGAGAATTTCAGCACCTTGCCAAACACATTTATTTTGAAGCACTTCAGATGGATTATAGGCATCCTATTTATGTGAATTAATATATTTTGCCCTCTAAATATTAGAATTTTAGATATTGTATTAAAAGTTGAAACGGCTTTGGTTGGCAGTTTTCCGTTACCCACACTTTAAAAACTGCTTCATATCCCATGTTATTTTCAGGACCTAGTTACCTGCTTGCTCAACATCAATGATGTAAGTACCTTTATTAAGTCACCAACTTGAGTTGCACTGTGTAGAAATGTTATTCTTAGGAGCAAAAATATTCTTTAGTCATGATGAACTATCAACATGAATTGAAAAGGCACCTGAGAAGTCTTGGTGATCTTGCTCCTTTCGATCTTGCTCCATTCACTTTGATCCTCTTGCGAAAACCATTCAAAATTGGCAGCTTCCATGATTCCATCTTGTAGAGGGTGAGTGGAATCAAGAGTGAACTTCAGAACCTTCTTTTTCTGTCCCCCTTCTCCCCATTTGGCACAAGCTTTTTCATGGGTTCCATGGCAGCAGTGGAGGTAGAAAGAAGAGATGGGCAGACGTGCCAAGACAAATGGCGGCACCCGAGTTTTCTTAGAAGTGGATGCAGTGTGGACCAACTGTGTTTTAAAGCATGAGGCTTCCTTATTTTCTCTTTCTTGGAAATATGTCAGTAAGCTGCTCAAACAAATGAAAAATATGTGGAATACAGCAACAAATACTAAATAAGCATATGTTAAAAAGTGTGAGTTTACTACATGTAGACCTTGTTCATAATTCAAAGTCCTAAAGAAATATAGTCCAGTCAACAGGACCAGCAAATGTGTGTATTTGAGTAAGCCTCTGAGTCGCCACAGTCCCAAGTAGGAAATGAAGAAAAGCTGCCTTTACTGACCGTCAAAGATAGGGCTCACTAAATGAGTGAATGCTAATGTGTTACATGTGCTACTCCACCAAATTTTATTATTGTAAAAATAAAATTGAGCCCAGGAGTTCGATACCTGCCTGGGCAACATGGTGAGACCTTGTCTTTAGAAAATTAGCCGGGCGTGGTGGCCTGCACCTATAGATCCAACTTCTTAGGAGGCGGAAGTGGGAGGATTGCTTGAACCTGGGAAGTCAAGGCTGCAGTGAACTGTGATTGTGCCACTGCATTCCAGCCTGGGTGACAGAGTGAGGCTCTGTCTCAAATAATTTTTTTTGAATAATTGGAATTATATTATTTAAAAGGGTGATATTTATTTATATTCTGATATCTGTCTGGCATCAGCTGTTGTCATACGTGAGTTTGGAAATAACGACTGGCTTCTAGATAGCTCATCAGTTCATTTTTCTGAGCTTTTGTGATTATTTTAGCCCTCAGCTGGACTACTGCTAAATCCCCATGGCAATAGGATCCCCTCTGATTGCTTGGTGAAGTGATGGTGATTTAAAAAAAGGAATTTATACACAGACACAGTGATGGCTCTCGAGATGTTGAATAGTTGTGAATTACTTAGGAATTGCTCTCAAGATAGAACATTTGGAGGAATAATTAGAAAAAGTATGCTGCTCTTTTTTTAAAAAAGCAGCTTTATTGAGATACAGTTCATATACTACAAAATTCTTCCTGATTATTTTTAAATAAAGGGAAAATATTAATAGGTGTTCCACTACAAACCATTTCCCCCTATTTTCAAGGATAAACAACAAATATAGATTTTAAACAATAAGATTATCTTTTCAGTATTATTACAGTGACCTTTAGCATTTTAAAATCTACAAGCAAGGCCGGGCGCGGTGGCTCAAGCCTGTAATCCCAGCACTTTGGGAGGCCGAGACGGGCGGATCACGAGGTCAGGAGATCGAGACCATCCTGGCTAACACGGTGAAACCCCGTCTCTACTAAAAAAAAAAAAAAACTAGCCGGGCGAGGTGGTGGGCGCCTGTAGTCCCAGCTACTCGGGAGGCTGAGGCAGGAGAATGGCGTGAACCCGGGGGGGCGGAGCTTGCAGTGAGCCGAGATCGCGCCGCTGCACTCCAGCCTGGGGCATAGAGCAAGACTCCGTCTCAAAAAAAAAAAAAATCTACAAGCAAGCAAGGCTTCAGTGGACCATGCAGAATGTTCTGGTTCCCTGTGTTGGAGAAATACAAGTTTCTATGGGATAAACAAATGCACATGCTGGCCAATCGTCAGAGTGAAATACCAAAAAATTCCATTGTGGAGTAAGCGATAATCAGATTATAAAGAATTAAAGTAAGAAAACACTCTTTGGGTTGTAGGTAGAAAAGAACATGATAAAGATTATCCTCATATCTTTTTTTCTTTTCTTTTCTTTTCTTTTTTTTTTTTTTTTTTTTTTTTTAAGACAGGGCCTTGCTCTGTTACCCAGGCTGGAGTGCAGTGGCATACCAGGGCTCACTGCAGCCTTGACCTCCTGGGCTCAGGTGATTCTCCCACCTAAGCCTCCTGGATAGCTGGGACTACAGGCATGGGCCACCATACCCAGCTAATTTTTTGTGTTTTTTGTAGAGAGGGGGTTTCACGATGTTACCCAGGCTTGTCCTCATTTCTTGGTGAATCTGTTTTTTCCTTTAGAGCTGATTTAAACTTTTTTTGTGAGAAATACAGCATCTATATAGAAAAGGTAGTTAAGCCCAAGAACCAGCATCATAATTAGTATAAAGCCAGCACCTTTGTAACTGCTACTCAGATCAAGAAATAGAACTGCTGGCCTCTTAGGAATATGCCATATTTCCCCTTTTGATTACGACTTTCCCTACTTCAGTCTTCCAACCATGACTTTCAGGCAGATTACCTCCAAGTATACATATATACACACAATATAAAACCATATATCTATATGTGTAGTGTTACCACTTGAGTATGTATCTGTAACCATTAAAGTTTAATGTTGCCTATTTTATAAGTGTGAAGAAATGAAATCAGGTGTTCTTCTTGGCTCAGCATCAGGTTTGTGAGATCCATTCATAGGAGCATGCAGTACATGGCTTGTTTTCATTGTAATCTGGTATACCATTGTATGAACGTAAATGTAAGTACTTGTTCATTTGATGGTTTGTGGACATGTGGCTTCTACCCAGGTTTTTACTGTTGCCTGTTCTGCTTTGGACATTAGGGTCTATAAAACCTGATACACATGGTGTGAATTTTTCAAAGTATGGTTCCTCTTTTGGCAGTATTAGCATAAAACTTGTTAGAAATGTTGATTCTTGGGCCCCACCTCTGACCTACATTCAGATATCATCTTGGATGGTATATTATGTATGTGTATGCTTATTCTAGTGACTGCCTTTGCTCAGGATACTTTTGGATCTTCCAGGTTGGAATCCATTCATGATGGCACACACATGTATCCACGCAAACACACACTCCCCCATTCCAGTTATTTAGCAATTGACTCATTGCTCATATTTGAAAAAAAATAGCTTTATCAGTTTGGGTCAAATGTTTTGTTATTTTCAAAGATAAAATAAACATCCAAAAGAGAAAGATTGTTGCCAGCATTGAAGATATTCAAGAAAATATGCAAAAGATTGAAGACCTGCTGAAGGAGGACCTGAAACAGGTTGGGCAAAGCACTGTTCCTAGAACGGAAGCTTCAGGGCCCTGTGGAGAAAGCAGTACTGACTCTGGAGTTTGAGCAGATGTGGGTTCAAACCCACATGTACCTGTGACCAGCAGTGTCGTCAAAGAGAGTTCTGCCTTTCTCTGAGCTTCAGTTTTCCTCCTATGCAAAGAGGGGATCACATCTACTACCAAGATGCAAAGCAATTAGTACATAGTGACTGCTCACAGGGCCACATTTTTACTGTGGATGCATTTTGGTCATATTTTGGTAACATAATCTGATGTGGCTGACTGTGTCATGGCTTCATACCTTTCATACTTTTGACTTTTGTGCTCTCTGCAGGAACGATTCCAGGTGAAGAATCCTCCCCATACATACATTCAAAAGCTCAAAGGCTATCTGGATCCAGCTGTAACCAGGAAGGTAAGACGGATTTGTTTACACTCCTCGTTGTTGCTTCTTTATTAGCGAGCGGAATCCTCCTGCATTGGAAGAGACCTTCCTTCCTCTGCATTAGAGCCTCTGCCAGAGCCTCCACAAAAAACCACCTTGGGAGACCAACAACGTAAGAAGACAAAGGAAAACAAACACCCTTCTCACTTGAAGATGTGTATAAAAGTTCTTTCCTGACATGAGAGTCACATACCTCTGATGGTTATTGAGTCACTGTTATTTCCAATTACACAGGGCAGTGAGTGCAGTCCAGAGGTGTTTAGGCCCCTACAAGAGCGGGCTTGGCAAAGGGAATACTTGCCTTTCAGTTTTTTATGCCTTGGTGCATTTCCAGAGACCTTGAAAAAAATCACTGGGCCTTTGTCATCCCAGCTGTGCACTCACATCCTGTGTTGATGCTTTTAGCAGCTCCCCTCCTACCCACCCCAACCCCTGCCCCTGGCCTGAGAAGGTAAGGAGAGAATAGTTGATTCCATTCTCAACAGACTCTCTCCTTTTACAAACAAGCCCTGCTTTGTGCAGCCACACAATTGGTTTAAACTGATGCCTTGTGGTAAAGCATGTAGCCTGGCACGGCCCTGCAGGCCTGAATCAGTCCTGGGATGTCTCAGGGCAGAGCTGTCCTTGCTCAAGATGGGTGGAGGGGTGCTTTACCAGATAGCGCTTGTTTTTCTGTTGACCTTCTACAACTCCTGCTTTCAATGCTCCAGCGAAAATGTCTCAGGCTGATTCTCTCTGTGTTTCAATGTGAGATTTATGAGAAAAGAACGGTATACTTTACCTAGTTAGCCACTATTTCCAGGGCTCTTGATGCTGTATTAAAAAAATTTTTTTTCTTTATCTTCTACTATAACTCTTCCTCCCTTCACCCCCCACCCCCACCCCAGTAAAAAAAAGTCCAGCAAAGGAGAACAGCTATTATTTCCTTTTGGAAGTTTCCTGGGCCTTTCTCTTACGGTTAATATGTAGACAAGGGGAAATAAAATCGAGTAGTGATGATGACAGTGGAGTGCAGAACTTCATTGCTGGCTGTATGTCATATGTGATTTGAATGTGACACAACCTTGAATCCAGGAACGTACCTGTCAAAGTATCATTGATACTTCTTCCCTCTTAAATGTGGCAAACACGTTTCTTTCCAAAAGATCTGTTGTCAGGTCCTACAAATGAAACCGTTGCTCAGTTCTTGTTAATTTTTCTCATTCCTCCCTTTCCCTAAGAACGTGGCAGTCTTAATGTCATCAGTTTAAAGAGGTCTGTAAAGGAAGATACACCCAGGCCGGGCATGGTAGCTCACGCCTATAATCCCAGCACTTTGGGAGGCCGAGACAGATGGATCACCTGAGGTCAGGAGTTCAAGACCAGCCTGACCAACATAGTGAAACCCCATCTCTACTAAAACTACAAAAATGAGCCGGGCATGGTGGTAGGTACCTGTAATCCCAGCTACTCAGGAGGCTGAGGCAGGAGAATCCCTTGAACCCGGGAGGCGGAGTTTGCAGTGAGTCGAGATTGTGCATTGCACTCCAGCCTGGGCAAAAAGAACAAAAAGCTGCGTCTCAAAAAGAAAAATAAATAAATAAAGAGACAGCCATATACACAAAACACATTCCCAGACAGGTGTTTTTCTGTACTATTTCTTTGCAAAGGGACAGCAAGATCCTATTTTAGAATTGATTTCTAAACGTTTTCTGAAATCCCCAAACTTATAACCTTCAGGCTAGATGGCTCAGACCTCAGCATTGAGCCCTAATGCTTACCCTGAGCTGAGTGTGGCAGAGATGCTGATGTTTATACAGAAGACTGAGACCTGAGACCTTTCCTCATGTAGAATTCATCCTATCTCCAAAAGATTCCTTCCACATTTTTCCAGTTCTGAATAGAAGGGAAAACATACGCACACTCCTAGAGAGTGCTGCTTAGGCCCCCATTTCCATACCCCACATGGAGGAAGATGCTTAGAAGGAAGAGGTGGGCTTCCTCCTGGCACAGTTCCAGTTTTCCTTTCGATCAGCTGTTTCTGGGTTTAGGCAAAGAGAACAAAGTGAAGCAAAGCAACAAATAAGCTTCCCAGAAAATGTTTTGCTTCCTCATAAATAATAAACTGGAGCAGGACAAAAGATGTCTGTTTGGACCTTCATTCCCGACATTTCTGCCCTGGCCCATGTGCGTTCACCTGAATGGCCATGTTTGGTCTGTGCCTCGTTTTTCAAAATCAGTCATTCAGCTCAGAAAAAATAAAATGGATGGTGGATTAACCACCCCTGCTTTAATTCTGTCAGGAGCTGGCAGGAGGAAATGATCTGTTCCATACAACATAATTGTAATGCTTAAAGCCTGGAAAAAAAAAAGGAGATTTGTTGAAATAAGACATGGCTTGCAGTTAAAATGAGCTTAAAATTCTCAGCTGTATTATGGTGGGGGAGAAAAAGATTTCAAATCGAGGCTTTAAATTTCAGCCAGACAGTCTAGGCTGGGCAGTTTTCCTTTAACTGTGTCTGGAGTCCTCGAATACTTGATTCGTTAATCTTTTGTGCAAATTGAGTAGAAGATACTTAATTTGGTTTTTAAAAAAAATTTTTTAAAACATTTTCTATTTAGATTATCTCCTAAATAATTTTAAATGAAACCTCTAGGGCAGGAAAGGAAGAGCCTAAATTAGATATGTCTATGAACAGAACTCTCCAAACCAGCCTCCTTATTTAATACCAGGAAGTGATTAGTCTGTGTTTAAAGGAGTCTGGTCCCTTGCTGGCGCTGCAGTTGTGAGATGAAACCTATTGTAGGGCTCAACCTGGGCTCAGCTGCCTCTGTGGGCTCATCCCAGGCCTCCTTTGATGGGGAGGGAAGGGAGAATAGCACAGACCGCTCACAGATCCTCTCTGGCTCCCCAAGGGCACATAATTTCTCTTCAGTTTAAAGCATTCTGGATACATTTTAGAAGTGCAAAGTGTTAGCACTCATTGTGTATATATTAGAGAAGTGGACTCCAAGACTTCTTGTGGCCCAGAATCTAACCGAAAATTGAGCCGTTCCTAAGATAATGTAATACAGGAGTAAAGTCAGTTTAGTTTACCTCTGTTATCAGGCAGTTGCAGAAGGGTAGTGCCTAGGTAGCATAGTCAGTGCCCAAAACTGCTAGCGCTGCTGCTCTTATTATTACCTCATCATGTTTTGATACAGTTACCTGGTTTCGATACATAGCTCTTAGCCCTTCAGCAGACCGTCTTTCATACTCCGCTATACCCTCAGTGCTACACTGGGTGCCCTTGTGCCTGATGACATATGTAAGGGATGACCTTGCCCCGAGGAAGCAGAAGGCGGCATTGGGGCTGGGTGTTAGTTCCTTTGTATTGCTATAAAGAAATACTTAAGGCTGGGTAATTTATGAAGAAAACAGGTTTATTTTGGCCTACAGTTCTTTAGGCTGTACAGGAAGTGTGGTGCTGGCATTTGCTTCTAGTGAGGGCCTCAGGGGGTTTACAATTATGGCGGAAGGCTAAGGGGGAGCAGGCGTGTCACATCGTGAGCAACAGGGAGGAGGTACCAGCCTCTCTTAAACAACCAGATCTCGCAGGAACTCTTCAGAGTAAGAAGCCACTTCTTATCACGAGGACAGCACCAAGCAGTTCAAGCGCTATCTGCCCCCGTGACCTGAATACCTCCCACTAGGCCCACCTCCAACATTGGAGGTCCTATTTCAACGTGGGATTTGAAAGGGACAAATATCCAAAGCATATCAGGGGCCCAACAGAAGCAAAGGCTGCAGGGAATGAGTCAGAAGTGCGCACAACACAGAGCTTGGAAGGCTGAGTTATTTTCTGACAACCACCTGTGCAGGCAGCTCGAGACTTAGGACTCTGACGTGGGAGTGGCCACATTGGAGCAGCCAGCACATCTGGAAATGGTTGCCTTAGCTGTGTGACCAGAGACCCTAGAATTTTTTGTTTCCTTTGTCTTGCCTTCCCTATAGACATAGCAGACTGCCTGCTTCATCCTACTGACTCTCCTCTACTCCATTCCTAATTTTTAGCTCCAAGGAAGAGTTTAAAGAGCGAGAACACCTTTAGCCGCCCATCCTGCACTACTTGCCCCCATTCTTTTTTTTTGACATGGAGTCTTGCTCTGTCACCCAGGCTGGAGTGCAGTGGCACGATTTCAGCTCACTGCAACCTCCGCCTCCCAGGTGCAAGCAATTCTCGTGCCTCAGCTTCCCAAGTAGCTGGGATTACAGGCATGTGCTACCATGCCTGGCTAATTTTTGTACTTTTTTTTTTTTTTTTTTTGAGACGGAGTCTTGCTCTGTTGCCCAGGCTGCACTACAGGCACCTGCCACCTCGCCCAGCTAGTTTTTTGTATTTTTTAGTAGAGGCGGGGGTTCACCGTGTTAGCCAGGATGGTCTCGATCTCCTGACCTCGTGATCCGCCCATCTCGGCCTCCCAAAGTGCTGGGATTACAGGCTTGAGCCACTGCGCCCGGCCAATTTTTGTACTTTTAATAGTGACGGGATTTCTTCATATTGGCCAAGCTGGTCTCGAGCTCCTGACCGCAGGTGATCTACCCACCATGGCCTTCCAAAGTGCTGGGATTACAGGCGTGAGCCACTGAGCTTGGCCTTTACTCCCTTTTCAAGCCAAGTACTGTGCAGAGCCTCCTCATTGCTGGGAAGTGGTCTAGGAAGCTCTGGGGTTGGGTGCCCTCCAAACTCTCAAGTATGCCACCATTTCTTAGGCAGAAGAGGGGAGTGCCTCTCCTTTTTCCATCACATTGGGGATATTTTTGTTTCCTATTTCTCACTATACTTGGATTCTGGAAACCTGACATGGTCTCTTTAGATTGTCTTGGGAATGGCATTTACGGAGGAACTGTGAGACTATCTTCTTCCTTGGGCGCCCTGCTTAGAAGCAGCTGGTGGGGAAGCCAGGGGCTTTCAGAAGAAGACGACAGGGTAACAGGAGCCTGCTGTGCTGAGCCGTGCTTCAGGCCTTCATGGGGCACCAAGTCCCAGGTGTGGGCGTAGCTCTTGCCACCCCACATTCTGGAATCCTCACTTCCATCCTCCTTCCTTCTTGTCCTTGGAGCTGAAGGACTCTGTGTCCACTGCAGTTGTGGCAGCAGAGGAGAGAGGTCCTTTATATCCTCAGCCAGAATTCTCAAAGCTCTTTCCTGTAAACAGTGTAACATAAAGGTGGTTCAGGTTCGTAGCACAGATAGCCTGGAACTCTGCTTAGGAGGCGCTGACATCAAATTTTCTTCCTTCAAAGTGGCCTGAGACTGTCACTTTAAATAAATATTTCTGTAGGAAAATGTGTTCCAAAGGACTGATGTGCAATGTAGCCCATTGGTATCTTGGAAATGATTTAGGATCAGGAGGCTAGAGAGGTGTATATTAACACATTTACTATCAGAGGTGGATTCAGTGATGAAAGAAGCCCCGAGGGAGTCCTGGAAGGGCAGGTGGGGAAGGTTCCTACCATTTCCTGATAAGAATGTTTCCCTATGCCTAAACTGTGAAAACAACACGGCTTATGCTGAATGCCTCTTTTCCTTCTGGGAGTCTGAATTTTTGTTCTGTACTAGACAGAGAGTTGCCTGTTAAACCAGCTCCCAATAAGAACCTGGCCACTGAGTCTCTAATGAGCTTTATGCGTGTTGTCATTTGTGTCTCCTCGGGGAGAGGACTCCTGGAAGATTGCACCTGGTTTCCTGCACGTTTTATCCCATGAACCTTTTCTGTTTGCTGATTTTGCTTTGTATTCTTTTGCTGTAATATGTCATAGCCACGAGTATGACTGTATGCCGCCGAGTCCTTTGAGTCCTACTAATGAATCATTGAAACTGGAGGTAGTCCTGGGGTCCCTGACCCATAGGAATACTGGTGAATATTGTTGTGTGTTGGGGGTAGGAAAATAAAATCTACTTGCTGAAAGGCACATTTTTGTGTGTCTTTTTCTAAAACAAGGACTTTTTCTAGTCCTTTCTCAGTAGCTAATTTTCATAGTGAGGATAATGTGTGTGCTCTGCGACAAAAAAAGGGAGGGAAGCCCATTTTAGAAGTGAAGATATTTTTCATATTGTGTTAAATTTATTATAACTGAGCTTCAGTTATAGCAGTTGCTAAAATACTTTGTGTGAATATGTGTTGTTAAATTATAGAAATTCAGACGGCGTGTTCAAGAATCTACACAAGTGCTAAGAGAACTGGAAATTTCTTTAAGAACCAACCACATTGGGTAAGTATACCCCTTTAACATCTTAGCTCTAAAGCTTTTGGACACTTTACAAAGTAACTGAATCATATCCAAAGAATTGAGCTTCCTTATGGTTCATTATAAATTAAAAGACTGAGGTTTTAGTAGATGAAACCTTTGTTAGTACTCAAATTACTTACTGCCCAAGAATCAGCAGAAGCAAGACAGATAGTCCTTGATTTGGAATTCATAACAATTCTATATTTCTTTTGCGCGGGTGCAGTAAATATGGACACTTGGTTTCATGTTTGCATAACAATTCTCTGGCAAATCAGGAACTCCAAACAGTAGATGTAGACTGAGATCTTGGAAAATCTCTAAGCTTTTACTGTAGTTCTCCAAGTTGCTGAGTTGAAGCTACTTTATTTCCCTTTTGTTAATTCTCTAGAGTTTCTGGCCAGAAGGGGACGGAAGCTGGAATAATGTCACTTGACTCACGTCATTGCACTCAGACACATTCTCAGTCTCTTTTTCATACATCTCAAAACCTCAGGACCATGAAGTGTAAATCCACTCTGGGAAAATAAAGTTCAGGGAATCTCTGCACTAAGCATTCTGAGTTTCTTTCAGGCAACAACATGGTTGCTTTGCCTCAGGCAAGTACAGCGGTATTATATTCTCCTTTACCCCTCGGTGGCCTAATTGTACCATGTCTTCAAATAAGATGGCTTCTCTCTGAGGCAGAATGATATCAGGTATCCTATTTTGTAACCCTCCTTCTGCCCAAAGCACCTGCGTAACATTTTGGGCAAGCTATTTAACCCCTTTGGTTTTGATTCTTTGAGCTTTACAATGAGAGGACTATCAACTTTTAGATCTTTTAGAATTTTCCCATGACATTCTTTGCAAGTCTGTTGGAAATGAATTTTGATGTATATATATTGAGCTTTAGTTTTACAGAGTATCCTGTAACATACAGTAAGTCCTCTCTCATTGATAGGTTCTTCTTGGAAACCATGAGTTTAAGTGAAATGATGTTATAAAACCTTTTCCCCCCTCATCAATGTCATAATGAAATAATGTTATTTGAGGTTAAGTAAGGACTTGATATGGATTTATTATGTAGATAAAACTTTATTTCAGACTGCTGTAAGCCATTCAAATGGTTAATTAGCATAGTTATTTCAAAATAAACTTTTAGAAATTGTAGAAATGCTATTTTGATTGATAGGTGATGGAACTTGGATAAGAATGTGCATTTCTTAAATGATAACCAGCAGGTTTGTCACCTTGAGAATGAAATACTCAGAAAATGAATTAATTCTAGACTTTGTCCCTGAAAATGAGCTATAGAACAAAGAATCATAGAGTCATGATTTTTGAACTGGAAGATAAATTAAGAATTGCCTAATGCCTCATTTTACAGATTAAAAGAATTAAAGACCAGAGAAGGTGAGTGAATTGCACAGTCTACAGCTGTAGAGCCAGGTGCTTTGGCTCAAGTTGCTCTGTTGCTTTTCCTGTATGACTTATGCTGGCAGCCATTTCCCTGAAAGAAAATAAGATTATCAGGGATCTGGGATCAAAGCAATGAGGCTTGTCTGCTGGAGATGAAGATGGTGGTAGTTTAATACTTTTGGGCATTTAAACTAAGGACATTTAAATACTTTCCAGTATATATGGATCAGGAACTAGATTCGATTTTGTTTGGTCCAACCCTAGGCCTTTGGCCCTTTTAACTGAAAATGGTGGAATGAACTGCAACCAGGATTTCTACAAATTGTCAAAAAGCATTTCTTAGGCTGGGTGCAGTGGTTCACATCTGTAATCCTAGCACTTTGGGAGGCTGAGGTGGGTGGATCACCTGAAGTCAGGAGATTGACACCATCCTGGCCAACATGGTGAAACCCATCTCTACTGAAAATACAAAAAATTAGCCAGGCGTGGTGGCGCATGCCTATACTCCCAGCTACTTGGGATGCTGAGGCAGGAGAATCACTTGAACCTGGGAGGTGAAGGTTGCAGTGAGCTGAGATCACTCCAGCCTTGGTGACAGAACAAGACTCCATCTCACCCAAAAAAAAAAAAAAAAAAAGCATTTCTTTAAGCATTGCTGAAGTAACGTGAAATTGACCATCAGATACAAAAGGAAGATGATCATTTCCAACACAAACTTGGCTGAATAGAAGAACCCTGGTTGGGTTGAAGCCAGTGCAGTCTGCAAGCAATTGGAGTGGTTTGTTGTTGAGGATACTCTAGGCATGTTGAAAGATTCTTACATTTCTTTCATCTTTACCGGGTGAAGTTTTCCCTCGCCCACTGCCTATGTGAGGTACTCTGAAAGCCTTGGCTTAGCAGCAGAAAAATTGATGGAGATGCATTGTCTGATTGTATGCAAGCAATCACTAGCATAAACTTACATGAAGTAAAACCACAGAACCAGAGTTTGACCATCTTGCCTGTCCTGAAAACCTAAACCTGAACTCTCTTTCTTATGTAAACTAACTGGCTTGATCTCACTTGATAGGGATATCTTCTGAAAAATTACTCAATAATGACTAAAACAATCAGTTGCTAAAATGAAGAATTCTTGAAATGCAAGATGCTGTATGAGGAAGCCATATATTTTATTGTACTGTTTAACATACTGTAATAGATAGATAATTCAGGGCTGAGTGTGGTGGCTCACACCTGGATTCTCAGCACTTCAGGAGGCCGAGGCAGAGGATTACTTGAGCCCGAGAGTTTGAGACCAGGGTAACATAGTGAGACCTCGTGTCTACAAAAAAATAAAATATTAGCCAGTCACAATGGCACGTACCTGCAGTGCCTGAGACGCTGAGGCAGAAGGATCAATTGAGCCTGTGGGTTCGAGGTGGTAGTGAGCAGCCATTGCACTCTCTGAGTAACAAAGTGAGACCCTGTCTCAAAAAATAAAAATAAAAAAATCAGTGCCCATTTGCTCAAATTTGTGCTATGCCCCTTTCTAGTTATTTGACCTTAGATAAGTTCCATAAGTTTGCTGTACTTACTATGTGACCCAAGTTAAATTCTCATTGATAAAATGATATGATAAGACTTACATCATAGGAATGTTGTAAGGATTAGATGATATAACTTATAAAGACCTAATAAAGGGTCTGAAACTTAATAGTTACTCAATATATGATAGTTGTTTGTTATGCTTGTTGCAAATAATATCTGTAGTATTCAACAGTATTATATATCTCCAAGGGATTCCCTAAGGCAGAGAGTGTTATCATCTTTATCTAAAATAATCCTGACACCCAGGAGATTATGATTCCCAGAAATTAAAAAGGAAGGATTACATTTACAATCTACTTGTCCTAAAAAAAATTGTTCTGGGCACATGCTTGCTTTTCAAGGTTAAAGACTTGAGCTTTACCGAGATAACATTCTGAGCTGCAGCTTTGTCTAGCAAAGGGCTTGTTCTGAGTTTTGATATAAGCCTAAAACTCTATAAATGGAACAATCTTCTGAGAAAGAAAATTAATTTTCTCTGAGTCAAATTGAAATAAGAATTAGACTAGAAATAATCCCATTCACTTACTCTTAGGAACTATAATAATAGAGAAGAATTGGATTATGACTTATCTAAGCTTTTGAAATTACTTGAAATACCCTTGAAATGATCCACGTAGTGTTAGAACACACTGGCCATGCAGTGTGAGTAGGCAGATGCCATGGTGCTTAAGATGTCAGAGTGATAGGATTTAAGTTGTGGTGAGGGTGAAGTGGACAGATTTACCAGCTTTATTCTGTGGAACTGATGTGTACGCTGTCTCTCCTTGCAGGGAATTTATTGTAGTAAAGCTGCCTATAATGATAGAAAATTACTTTCCATCCTCAGTGGAAGGTCACAGAAGTCATGAAAGATGCTCATTTCACTTTCTCATTGCGGTGTAGAGAGAACAGGCATGAGATTGCAGAAGGAATGTGGCAAGTTCGCAAGGAGGGGAAGGAGGTTTGTAGAAGAGGGAAGACGCTGAGGAACTGCTTAGTTAATGTCGTCTTCTCTCCTGCCCGCCAGACTTCTTTATGAATCAGTGCTGGCTGAGCCAGGCCAAAAGAAGAAAGACAGGAGAGTGACAAAGGCTACTTTTAACATGCATACAACATGTATGGTTGTGTGTGTGTGTATCAAGCTGCCTTATGATTAACTTATTCCTAGATGGTACTTTTTTAGAAACCATCAAGGTTATAGTCATTTTGTTATTTATTAAGCACTGTGTTAGGTGCTTTATATTTGTTATTCTGTGTATTTCCTACAAAAATCTTACTGACCATTACGCCTGAATCCCTGTTTTACAGATGAGAATACTGAGGGTCATCTATTAAGTACCTTGCTCAATTCCACACAAGTTAGAAGCACCGAGATTTGAGCCTAGATATAGTCACTTCTAAAATTTGTTACCTAAACCATTAGTTCTCACATTTTATTTTGATTTTAGAATGCCTTTATACTTTTAAATTATTTTTGAACCCCTATAATCTTTTGTTTAGATGGGTCAAATCTATTAATGTTTACAATATTAGAAATTAAAACCGATATATTTTAAATGTCTTTAATAAAACATTTATTTAATAAAATTTAATTTAAATACATAAATATAAAATAAATGTTATATATTAATATAAATATTAACACATTATAAATGAATTTAAATGACATGTTTTATGAAAAATATTCTTCAAATAAAAAATTGGTGACAAAGGCTACATTGGTTTAATTTTTGCAAATCTCTTTAAAAACTGGATAATAGTTGGCAGCTAGATTCTCTTATCTGAGTCAACATTCAGTTTGTTGTGATCTGTTTTGATTGATGTATATGAAGAAAGTTGGGCCTTATACATATGCACACTTAGAGATGAGTTTTTTTAATGGTCTTTTCAGATAATTGTGGATATTCTTTTTTTGGTAATACCCCCAAAATTGAACGACTGGTAACTGATTCTTACAGATAGCTATAATGTAGAGTCTGAAATCATATCAATGAACTTTTTGTGCTCTGTTATATTAAAATCCACTGGCCAGGCGCAGTGGCCTGCAGTCTCAGCAACTTTGGAAGGCCGAGGTGGGCAGGATGGCTTGAGCCTGGGAGTTTGAGTCTAGCCTTGGTAACATGGTGAACCCTTGTCTCTATAAAAAATACAAAAATTAACCAGGTGTGGTGACATGAGCCTGTAGTCCCAGCTACTCAGGAGGCTGAGGTAGGAGGATCACTTGAGCCCAGGAGGTTGAGGCTACAGTAAGCCATGATTGTGCCACTGCGCTTCAGCCTGGGCAACAGAGTAAGACCCTGTCTCAAAAAATCCTTTGTGCTGTCTTGCACTTTGATTGGGTCTTTTTATCCATACGTGAACTTGTGACATGATTTCTTAACATCATGCATTAGTCATTTGGAAGATCAGAATAACTCAGTGAAATCATGTTTCTCAAATGTTGAAGTATATCACTTTGCAATATTTTTTAAAAATCACATTTGTTAATAACCACTAGTGTGATTAGAATATATTTTAAGTATTGAGAAGCTGTCAAACGGATGGTGGTGAATACAGGTTTTCCAGAATTCTAATTTTTGTTTGAAAGCTCAAAGTTGGTCATCAACAACAAATACTGTGTTGTCCCTGAAAGGACGGGCTCACTTCATATTTGAGTAAATGTCTGCCACATACCCCAAACTGAATCACCATAGTTTGTCAATCATTTTTACAAGTAAATTGACATTCCGTGAAAAAATGGCTAGTTCAGCTCACAACTTGAACAGTTGCACAGGTGCTTTTCCTTGAGACAACCGTGCTACTTGGGCAGGTAGCAGAAGTACTTTATGTGCGCTTCCTGTTTTGTCACGCTGAAAATGAAAAAGATGTGTACTAAATGAGTAAGCTTTAATAAAATTAGTATTTTTTATTGCTTATCTAAGGGCATTCTTAAGTGAAGCTGGCTTTTTCCCCCTCCTGAGTGCACGGAGTGACAAATACAATAAATAGGTGTCTTCTTTGGTTGCAGCAGTTTTATACAGTATTTCTTTGGCATTATACATGTCAGTGTCAACAGAGTGAAAACAACCAATGTCCTAATATTTTTATGAAAACAGTTTTACCTTCATAGACACCTTGAGAGGGTTTCAGGGACCCCTAGTGGTGTATGGGCTATACTTTGAGAATCAGTTTGCAACACTGCCTAACAGAGTAGATCTGACCAGTGTTGAATCCGCACAGTGCTTCTTTCTCTTGCTTTTCATGATTTTCCATCAACTTCAGTTCCCACTGTATGTCTGTAGGACGTCTCTCTAAAGGAGGCTGGCAAAGGGAATTAACTGCTTGTTCCTTTCTGTTGTGCAACTTTGGGCCACTTGGCTTGATCTTAGAAATTGAAAGCCAGGAACATCTCTTAAGACCTATATGAGGAGAAATAAGGTTCTAAGATTTGGGGAGACAGAACAAAGATTTGAAGTCAAGCTGTGACCAGCCTACAATAAAATAGTGACTGTTGGCATTGGCACTTAATCTCTTCCTTGCACCCAGTTTCTTCCAGAGCTATTTGTCATTGTCCCTGTCTTTTCCAGCTCCTAAGCATCTGATTTAGAATTTGTCTAAATTCAGATTTACAGCATATGGTAATTATATTGAATCCGTGAGGCACTCAGGAAGTTATGCATTCTGTCAGAGTCAGAAATAATTCAACTTTCCAAAACCTATAATTAACCAATTTGAAACTGTTTGCCTATTGGCAACGTATTAAAAAGTGTGTATAGCATGCACAGAGGTGAAATGGAAATAATTTGCTATGGGAACCCTAAATATATGATATAGTCCTTGCATGATCATTTACATAAATCTGCAAAATGAGGCATCCATATTCTTTGAATGCCTTTAGATTCCAGATACTGCTTTGAAAGTTGCCCGTTTTTATCTTTACCTGTTTTCTTTCCTTACTGTTTCATTTCTGTAGAAGTTCACTTTCAACTCTGATTGAAAGTGGCCGGTTCTCTCCAATACAGAAAGTTCCAAGTCAAGAAGGGGTAGGGACTGAGATAATAGAAAAATGGGGGCTCTTTTTTTCTTATCCATATCCTTATTGCTGAAATGACTTTGCTAAGCTAGCCTGATATCATTTGATAAAGGGGGGAAAGTAGCCAGCCCTGAAAGACTGATCTCATTCTTTCCTAAGGCAGCCAGGGGTGTCAGGACTAGATCAAATCCCAGGAGGAGGATCTTGTAGCTTTGAAAAAAATGTAACTGTATGACATTAAATCAGGGGTAGAATATGTCACACTTTCGCTGCGTTTTTAGGAAGTAGGCAGCAGGCTGTTACCTTTTACTCAGAAAATTGTCTTCGAGGCCCTTTCGCTCAAAGTCAGGAAGTGGAGATGGGGGCCTGGATAAGGACACTGCAGTGAAGCAAGAGAAGCCATTAGTGTTCTTTATCCCTGCATTAAAACATATGCATATTAGCATGTTAAGTGAATTGTAGCTCTGGCTGTACTTGGCTATTTCCTACCTTAAAAAAATTTAGTTTTTCATCTGTAGGTTACTTGCCTCTTGTCCAGTTGGTGGCTGAACTTTCCAAGTGAGATGGAAGTGCCAGCCGGTGGTTGACACAAGGGCAGGCACTGAGTGCATTCTGAATGGTCTGCACTCTACAGAGGCTGTGTCTGGAAAATCAACTGAAGAAATGACAGTGGTTGTTTCTCTTAGCTCCTAAATTCGTATGTTCTTATGAGCCACTAAGAATATGTGAAACTGAGACTGCCCTGAAAAATCTGCCCCTACCCCCACCATGATTATTTTTCATATTAAAAAGACACCCACCACCAAGGGCCAGTTTAAATTGTACAATCAGAGCCCATAGACCAGACCAATGGAAAAGCCTAAGCAGGCTAAGGGGCTTGAATTTAAAGATTTTCTAATCATCAGATTTTGATAGTGAGTTCCAGACTTTACGTCTCCAGCCAGTCACAAAAAAGAAAAAATTCTTTTTACTATGTCTAAGCTTCTAATTACTAGTATTTAAACGTGATCGATGTCTCCTGAGACCTAGCACCATAGAAAGTAATTAAAATAACTAAAAAATAAGTATCTAGTAGATGCTGTGAGATTGTGTATGTGGCTCTTTTGAAATGAAACTCCAGCCTCCACCAGTAGCCAGCCCCGTTAGTTTTGTCTAGATCTCATAACAAAGCCACTTTGTGAGGCCCACCAGGTGGTATTTTCTTTGCCACTGTTGCCACCCCAGGTCTCTCTCAAATTAAATGCTGTACGTTTACAGGCAGCTATGCCAAGTGCACAGGTTTTGCAGTTGCCTCTCTGAGGCACTTGGGGGGAAAACACAAGGCAAGCTTTCTACTTTCCCACTTTGCTGCCTCCTGGAACTACCTGCAGACCTGGGCTGGGTTTGCATCATGGAGATGACAGGACTAGAAGAAAGAATGAGCTTGAGGATGAAACAAAGAACCCCTTCCCCCTGCCAAAAATTAAAACAAACAAACAAACAAACAAAAAACCAAATATCCTGATTCCATGGGATTGTTTTCTTCCTTTTAAGACAAAGACCTCAAGGGGTTGCTCATGCTTAAGGGATACTTAGTAGAATTGTCCTACTGTTATTTTAATAACTAACAAAACTGGCTTCCATAGTCGCTATCATGTCCATAGCTGGTCAACCTTTTTAGCTTGGTGTTTCTGGAGGAAAGTAACCATTGTGGAATGCAGGTGGCAGATGTACCTTAAGTGGCATTTCAACGATAGTAGTAGATCTTTTGACTTATTATTTGTTGGAGTTTGAAACTTAGTGAAGGCTTAATCAGGTACCATATGTTGTTTGAAGATGAATGCACTGGAGGAAATCTGTAAAAGGGGGTGGTGACATTTTACATCCACCTCCCTAAAGATTGTGTTTGAACCCCCTATCAGGATTATTATGAAGAACAAATAAGAATGTGTAAACATTTTCCATGAACTGTGGAGCACCATTCAAATGCAAGATGTTATTATTTAAAAAAGAATTTTTAAAAAAACCTGATATTTGTCATCTCCCGGCCTTGATGATGGTATGTGGTGCCTGCAGCTTTTTAAAAGGTTTTAACATTCATGGAAAAAGTTAAGCAAATCATTATCCCTATTGAATTTCTAGAAGCCCATAAACACTGGTCTCTCATTGGCTAGTTTAGTGGTTTCTGTAGCTTAGTGTGCCAAGGAGTTGAACTTGGATTTGGAATCCTGCCTGGATTTTTGTGGTTATGTTGTCATGTCCCCCGTCTGCCTCATTGTCCATAGTCTTGCTTCCTTCCACAAGCAGGCTGTAGATCAATTGTGGTGGAAGAAGTACATTAAGCAAGTGCCTTCTTTAAAGAAAGTTTCTTACAGATTATCTTAAATCCTCTAAGCAGTAAAATGCAAAGATGGCCCACGTGTACTTTTTGGCCCTTATTTTTGCACATTAAAAAGTTGTGGTTTTCTTAGTTACCATATCTGAAAAGCTCCTGCCTCATGTGAAGTAGTCTAGGCCTTCCTCCCTATGTCCTTTCAGGCAATGAAAGTTTCTGGTGAAAAAAACCAAAACTTTGCACTGTGTCCTTTCCTTGGCAGGTCATGTGATCAATTTCTCCAATGATTTTTTTTCCCCCCAACAGATGGGTCAGAGAATTTCTGAATGAAGAAAACAAAGGTCTTGATGTTCTGGTGGAATATCTCTCATTTGCACAGTACGCAGTAACGTAAGTAAAACTTGGCTTGCTTGCATTTGAATTTTTTGTGGTCACAGCAGATGCAACTCAGTGGTAAAGTTATACACCACACAAAGGGCAGAAACTCAGAAGCAGATGTGCTTGGGCTTAGGGAGGTTTGTTTCTATTTGGGTAACTAAAAACAAATCACATAATTAGTATTAGAAATGCCTTTAAGGCAGAAGTGAAACAGGTGAGTAAAAAAAAATCACCCTTAAAGGAGCCCTTATTTTCAAAAGTAATGCTTTCTTTAGGGCTTAAGTTATATATATGGAAGAATAGTCTAACAGTTAGTGAAAGAAGTATGTGATAAATCACTAGGTGATGCAAAAGAGTGACTCCCTTTTTATTTTAAAAATGATGTCTTCATGTATATTTATATATGTTAGTAAATGCATAGAAAATGATTGCAGAAACAGATACCAAATACAGTGGGTAGGGAGAGGTAACAAGGTAACAAGAGGTAACTGGAGGGAGAGGTAACAAGAGGCTTTTCCTTTTTCCTTGATATGTATTTGTATTGTTTTGATTTTCTGCCTATAAACTGAAGGGGAGTAAAAACAGTTCAGAGCAGGAAAGAAAAATCAACCTATTTAACCTTGTTTTTGTTGTTTCCTAAAATTCTCCTGTTTTCTCGACTTCCGGAATGATTTACAAGACTCAAAAGTGTACATCTGAATGAGACATTGTCTTCTCCACATTTTCTCCTTTAATCAAAAAACATCCTAGTATCCACAGACACACTCATACACACAGATTGAAGCAATAATGTTCGTTAATTTGACTGAAAGACATTTCAGCCTTGGTGGTGTTTTTCTTTTCCATTCTTGTTTTAAAAGTAGTAACCTGTTTTTTTAATTTCTTCACTCCAAAAGAGTCCTAAGACTTAATCAGCTGTTATCTTATAATCCCCATCATTTCCTGGAGAATTTGTGAAGAGAAAGGTATAATTATTCCTACCGTATAGATGCAGAAACGAAACTATTGACTGAAACTGTCTTGATAGGTTTCAATTCTGATACCTCTCATGTATTAGATGGAATGGACTAAGAAAAACCAATAGACAAGTTCTTACCTTCCTGAGAAATGCTCTTCAAAGGATGTTTCGTATCTATCTCCATTTCATCAAACACTGCAAGTCTCCCTTATGCTTTATATTATATGCCAAGAGAAAATACTGTTACCTACCCCGTTGGGTGTTTTAAAATCTGGAGTGATATTTATGCAATTCAGAGAAGACTAAGAAATGTCAGGAGGAATGGGTAAGAATAGCATGCTATGTTTTCTGTTGGCTCTAATGAATCCTTTACCTACATGACAATAGAGCTTGGCAACCAGCTTTCCCAAATGTGCCTTCACATAAGACCAACCAGGAAAGGAGGTGCTCCTATGAGGGAGTTCCTGTAGTCTCTAGCGTAAGACAACAGCGCACAAAAGATGAGAATTCAGAGCTTTTGTTTCTCAATCTTGTACCTTTGTGGGGTTTTTTTTTTT